GTCTATTCTTTTGGCAGTCCATGGTATTTTCATTACTCTCCTCTAACACCATAATTCAAATGCATCCATTCTTCTACTGTCTTCTTTATTCATTGTCCATATGGAGGAGTAAAAATACTGTAAAGGATCCCTGCTAGAGCAAATGATTAAAGTACTTGGCTGCTACCAAAAGGTTGGCAATTTGAACCCACCAGCTACTCCGTGGGTGTGATAGAAAGATTTCAGCCTTGGAAGCTCTGTGGGGCATCTCTACTCTGTCATCTTGTGGTACTCTGAGTTGGAATCCACATGTAGGCCAGGGGAGTATAGTCCGTTTCCCCAGGGAATACTACTTCTCAGCTGCAATATGCCGGGGGCTCCACCAAAGGACTATACACAAGTGCAGCTAAGGAGAGCAGGGGAGCAGGGCACATTCCCGGAAGCAGTCTTTCTACCACTAGAGCGATTGATTGGCACGACAGTTGTTAACACTGTAATGAGAGGGGGTGAGTGAAATGGGTGTGGCAGTGAGAATGATGTCAGAACAGCTCCTTTTTAACTTGCTGCTCTTGTATGTGCATGTGTGTGTGTGCACATAAAAAATATCTATTAGGAAAACATTTGCCAATTCAAAGATTCCTACATGGGCAGTTCACTGATACTGATTCTGTCATGTGGTCATTACCATTAACCTTTTCCAATTTTTTTTTTTTTTTTTTTTTTGCCATTTAATAGAAACTCAGCACCCCCTAAGCCATGACTCCCCCCTTCCTCCTCCCTCCCATACAGACATGACAGTAACAGTAACCACCTCCAAATCCTACCTTTAAATTCAAGAAGATGGTGTTTACCTTGTTTATTGTTGTCTTTATGGTGGCTTCTAGAGCCCTGTCTGGCACGTATATGTCCTCATTAGATACCAGCAGGATGGCTGAAAGTTGAGGGGATTTTTTGGTGGGTTTTTTGTTGTTATTGTTATTTGCGTGGACAGATCTTGGATTCAGGGAAATGTATGTAGCCATCCTCAGCTTTTTTGGCCGGAGCAAGTCCACAGAGCTTTCTGGTAAGCAGCCATATAGCTTCACTAACTTCTCTCTCTCCCCAACCCCCTTTCCCACAGCATCCAGCGCCGGCTGTCCCTCCAGCTCCCCATCCTCCACCACGCCTACCTCCCATCCATCGGAGGCGTGGACGCCAGCTGTGTCAGCCCCTGCGTCAGCCCCACCGCCAGCCCCCGCCACAGACATGTGCCACCCTCCTTCCGAGTCATGGTCTCGGGCCTGTAAGGGCGGGGGGCCTGGGGCCGGGGCCTCCTCCATGTCAGAACCACATCAGGCAGAGGCATCTGCTGCAGGAACCCTGTCGGCTCTGGCTTCAGAGAGCTGGGTGTGCCGCTGGCCTCACGGGACTACTCGGAGGACACTCAGGTGGACAGGATGGGGGGACTTGGCACCTGACCTCGAGCCTTATTTGTGAAGTTTTTATTCTTTCACAAAGAAGAGGAATGGAAATGACTTCTCCCTTAATGTCTGCAACAAGGAGGAGCAGGAATATTGGAAACTGGCAAATAAACAATTCTAGATGAGGAGGGAGGCACTGGGACTCCAGCTAGAAGTTACGGAGTCGAGGGGCCCACACAGCCTTGGGAGAGGAGAGGAGCTTCTGGAGAAAACACCTCTGCGCTCTGTCCACTCATCCCTGACTGCAGACCCTCAGGCCAGCCCTTCTCCATCTGGGGGAGGAGGCCCCCAGCAGCCAGTCCAACCCACTCCAGCCTTCCTAGGACAGGGAGTCTGCAGGACCGGCAGACAGGCACAGCCCAGGGTGGGCAGGCCGAGGGCTGGGTTACTGGAGGCCACAGGCCTCCTAGTGGGACCTCCATCTGAGATGTTTGTTACTGTCTGATAAATGCCACCCATTAACACAATAACACCCGTTCCGGGACAGTGGGGATTTAGGGCACGTCACTCTTTGGACACCATACTGCAGCATTCACCGACAGTCCACCATGCACCCACCATGTTGGCCGCGTCCTTGTGTTCATAACAGGTGTTCCCAGTAATAAGGGGACCACCCGAGCTAGTCATGGAATGTCTGTTCCCAACAAGCTCCATCAGGAAAGATTGTGCACTTTAACCTCTCTCATGAGGGCCCAAGGGCTGGCTGGCAGTTTTTTTCCCACTGACTTTATTTCTGACCAAAGTGAATCGGGGGCATTCTTCAAAAAGACATCCCTATAGTCATAGGAGAGAGAGCTGCTGGCTGGGGGCTTCCCGTGATTTCCGGAAGGTCACCTTCCATTCATCCAGGCCCCTGGGGACCACTGGTGTTGACCAGTCAGCACACTGAAGACCAAGCTTCCCTTTTAACTGAACCCCACAGAGCACTGGCCTGGGAGTCAGACAGACCTAGGTTCAAGTCCTCACCCCACTGTTGACTCCCCGTGTGACCCTGGGCAAGTCACTCATGTGTTTCTGAGCCTCAGTTTCCTCTCTAACAAAATGGACTTGAAACAAGACCTGTCCTGCCTACCTCACAGGGTCACTCTGAGGATCAAACCTTGATCTCATCCAAGAAAGCTTTCTACCACACAGCGACGACGCGGCCCTGACCGAGAGGTATGGATGTGACCATGACCTTCAGCCCTCACCACAACAGGGTGTAATCCAGAGAAGGAAGCTCCCAGCACAGCCCTCTACCCAGACCACCCCGCTGGAGCACGGCCCCACCGGCTTTCCCCACCTTCCTAGACAGGTTCAGTTTTGGCTAAAGAAAGGCCTGTAGGACAATGTCCGAGACGACTGCACATCAGAGCAGGTGGCTCACCTTCTAAAGAAACTTAATGGCAGCTTCAACAGGCAGGCAATAATCTCTTCCCAGAGCCACTGTTGTCACCAGGCTTTGACAAAAGGACCCACCGGAACCTTACCATCGCCAACATTTCACGACACCCTATTGCACGAGGACAGCTTTCCCCTCCCTTCCCCCAGAGAGAAGTTATGGAGGAACTGTAGCTTTTAGGGGGGAAAAAAAAAAATTTTAGCACATCACAGGTCAAGTTGAAGTCCTTCTCTGTTTTTAGGCACTAAAAATCGGTGTTGTCACTCACTGTGTATTACCAGTATTTACTTGCTTTCTTGATTTCACCCAAGCCAGATTTAATTTCAAGGACACACATTAATTTTTCAAAGGGAAAGAGACAATTAACTGTACATAATGTATACACACAAAAAATACCTGTAGAAATATTATTCCAGCATAGCAGGGGGGGAAAATCACAAATATCGGGCTGTCGGAGGTGAGTGTGTGTCTGTGACCCTTCGTGACCCCTGAACATTGGCATCTCCTACACTCACCCACGAGTACAACCTGTGTCTTTAATGATGCTGTAGGTTCACCTTTTTTTTTTTTTCCCCATTTCCCCGCAAATAACAAGACCCACAGAAGTGACTCTAGTTATTTAATTGTTCTTTTTTATGCAACAAACACACACACCGAACATTTCGGAAGAGGCTCTGGCCTGAAGACATTTTCCAATGATGTTAGTGCACAAACGCTTTAAATTAGACTGGAAATGCCAGAATCAAATGTAAATGAGGACTTTCTCTACCCCTACTGCATGGTATCAATTTTTAATAAATTGTTGCAAATTTGTTTTTATGAATAAAAGGGAAAAAGCTGTTGTCTTTAATGCCTACTGTCCCCACCGTTCAGGTCAGGACAGGCCATAGTCCTCTGCTCAGAAACTCAGACTATCTCTGCGTTCCCTTTTCTTCCAGAAACTTCCATTCCCTGGTTTCTGCTGACAGTAATGCAACAGTCCTGTTACCCTGTGATCCCACAAGGGTGGGGACCTGAGCCCAGCTGGGCCATTAAATTCCTTCTTCAGGGTTCCGCCTTATGGTGAAATCTAATCTGGCAGCAAGAGAGACACCAGTTCAGAAGATGGTCCTGACAGTGTCTGAGCCCCTGGTCCCTCTGCTCCAGAAGGACAGCAGCACTCTGGCTCCCTGGATTCTTGGAATACTGATGTTCCAATAAATTGCTCTTTATGCTAGTTCATGTTGGGAAGAAACCCCTATGGATCTCAGTGGAGTCATCCCCATGATTGCAACTAATCATGGGGATGGGGTCATCATGAGTAGGTGTATGACTCAAAACTTCAGGTTGGTTTCCCATCATTTGAAATCAAAAGTTCCTGACTAAAATAGATGCTTCCTTGCCTTCCCAGCCCTACCTCCTCCTCCAGGTAATCATGGCCTATCCATATTTGGCCCCAGGCTCCCAACACCCCACAAGACCGTTAGCACATCCTCCATCATGCTGGATTCTGCAGCTCCATCTCAACCTTCCCCATCTTGCACAGTCCCCACCACCACATCTTCCCAGCTCTCCTGACAAGACACTTTCTCTATTTTCTGTGCCGACGGCACTGCCACTCTCTCATGGTACTGGGTTCAAGCCCATGCTGTCCCCATTTCTTTGCCCCAGACCACAAACTCCCTGAGGACGGGAGTCACGTCTCCTTCCTCAATGTTCACCAAGGGTCAGACCGTCCATGTGGCTCAGAACGAGACTTTGCAGAAGTAAACATTTTGACTAACGTGTGCCCAAGTTAGTTACTGGGTCCAGGAGAGAGAACTAGAGTAGGAGTAGCTGTCGAGATTGGGGACGCCTGAGGCCATCTGATGTGGAGGACTCCTAGATCTCAATGGAAGGCTGTTCCCAGGAGGAGTTTTCTAGTCCCCAGGCTCCACTCCTGAATTCTACCCCAGAGGATCTCCTCCATAGCCACTGCTCCACACTGCCTTGTATAGAGCCCAACCTAATGGGGAAACGTATGCTAGGAAGAAATCACATCAGCCTATCATAGGAGCCACACTCAGAATCAGGAAACACTTCCTGGAATCAGGAAGTGCCTCTATAAGGGATGAGCAATCATTTAAGGGGACTTCCCGTGTGGAGATGTAGAATCAGCACTAGTCTGCCAACCACACAAGGTCAGCACTTCAAACCCACCAGCTACTCCTTGGAAACCCCATACAAGTTAAGTGCCAACTCAACAGCACTTTAACACCAACAACACAAGGAGAATATAAGGGTAAGTAAATGTGCTTCACATGTCTCTGCGATCAGTGGATGGCCGCAGACAAGTTCTGTCAGTACATTGATCTTGCTTTCAGTAGAGTACCTTCAAAAGTCCAATCAAAACAACGGCTTCGGTGAGGATCTAGTGGTGGTTGTTACTAAGTGCCGTTGAGTACAGTTAAATTCATAGCAGAGAGGTCAGCTCCAAATATTATAGTGATGCTTTGGGGTCCCAAACGGACCATCTTGATAGATTTTCTCAAAGGACTATCAATCGGCACTTTTTGTTAAGAAGTTTTAAGAAATTTGAAGACTGCACTGGTGAAGAAAAGGCCAGGAAAGTTGTGCTGAGGAATTGTTTCCATCACGCCAATGCACCTGCTTATTCTTCAAAGATAGAAAGAGCTATCCCATGAGAATTTCGTTGAGAAACCGTACCCCATCCACTCTATAACCCTGATCTTGCTCCTTCAGACATTTTTTTTTGTTCTCAAAACTCAAAGAACATTTCAAGGGAATGTGATTTTCATCCCTTAAGGATGCCAAAACTACCATTTTGACATGGTATAAATTGAAGAAGGAGTTCTGGTAGCGTAGTGGTTACAAACCAGGCTGCTAATCTCACGGTCACCAGTTTGAAACTACCAAGCTGTTCCATGGGAGAAATATGATTCTTTCTGCTCCTGTAAAGATTTACAGCCTCGGAAACCCTGTACAGGGCCACTATGAGTCGGAACCGACTCCACGGCACATAATAACAACAGCAATAAATTGAAGATGGCAGAATTCTTCGGGGAAAGGTTTGAGAGATGGAAATATCACCTTGAGAAGTGTTTGGTCCTAGGTGAAGGATACATTGTGAAACAATAGCTTCATATTTTGAAATTTTTGTTCATGAATGGTTTCTATGATTTTGTAGCAATACTTTATTACTTACCTTCATACAACATGTGAGGATCTTTCTACAAGTCAAGGAACGCCAAGAAAAGTCAGAGTCATGAGAAACTGAAAGAGTCAAGGTAGGAGCGCCCCCTAGAGCTGACCAAGAGAATGCATGAAAGATGAGGCCTTTTGCTCCCGTGAAGATTTACAGCCTGCGAAAACCCTGTACAGGGTCACTATGGGTCGGAACCGACTCCACGGCACACCACCACCACCACCACCACCACTAACACACTAAATTCAAACATTTACCTTTACAGATGGAGCCCTGGTGTAGTGCTGTGGGTTAATGTGCTGTACTGCAAAGTCGTTTTGAACCACAGGGTAAGTGGTTCAAGCTCACCAGACATTCCCCGGAAATCATATACAAGGTTGCTTTGAGTTGGAACCTACCCAACTGCACTTACAACAGCCTTAAAGAGAACTCCTGATGTGGCGCTGTAGGATCAGCACTGGACTGTGAACCACAAGGTCGACAGTTCAAATCTACCAGCTGCTCCTCGGAAACCCTATACAGGGTCACTATGAGTCAGAACTGACTCGAAGGTACTTAACAACAACCACGGCTTTTAAATACATTCATTTTGAGGTCTTTTTCTATGGCAGCCTTAAGAATTGTGTTGTTAGTTGACTTACGTTGTTGAGAGGCAGAAGGAGGGAGGGAGGAAAGAGGGAAGGAAAGTTCTGGAATCGAAGTAGTGTCGAAAGCCCACGATGTAACGCCTTCCCTTTCCTAGTTTCTTGTGCAGTGGCCCAATCAATCAGGAAACAATCCTCACTGCCTTCTCTAAAGATAAATCTCTGCCGACCGTTTCTGAAACCTGAGGGAAGTGCCCCATGCACACTTCTAGAACCTCAAGTTCCTACAGAGTGAATAAGAGCAGGATGAAGAGGAGCAACCAATGAATAGAAAGCAGAAGTCCACCTACCAGTAAATTCTCACAGAGATATAAAAACTGAATGGCATGTTTTCCGTGTTCCCCTGTTTGCTTTTAGCTCCTTTCTGAGTGAAAGGACCACGGGGGGTGGGGGTGGGGGGTGAGCAAATGCAGGATTCATAAAGCTAAAACTTCCCATTCCCTGGGACCTGGGTTGCCCATTAGATAAATTCCCCTCTCCCCATAAAGTTAGCGGTACCTGAATTATTCCTCAGCCTCCTGCCCTTCACCAAGTCAAAGACTGGCAGAAAACTTCAGAACGTTCCATCACCAGAGTGCTCAATGTGCAGACCTGAGGCCTCTGAGGTGTGGAGAAAGGGCAGGAGAAAGATGGCAGAGCTAGCCTCCTGGGGGAGGGGAAACAGAACTTCCATGGTGTGGAGTGGCAAGGAGACGTGAGGTTCCCATGGAGTCAACACCAAGGAAGGTTGTGGGGTTTTTAGTGGTTGGGCCCTACTGGAGAGTCAGCACTCAGCCTTAGCCTCACAGTAACTGCCAATGGAAACCTCACCAGGGAGTCACATAAGTAATATCCTTATTCCTTTCCTGTCTGTTTCCTCTCTGTGATGTCTCCGCAAGGAGAGAAGAAGAGAGGGTTGTGAGAGCAAAGCACAGTACCTCCCATCCATACCCCAAAGCTGCAGAAGCCTCAAATCTGGTCTGTTCAAGGAGGTGCTTAATTGTCCACAAACTGTTGGTTTTTTCCCCTCAAACAGATTCATTGAGATATAATTCACATACTATACAACTCACTCATTTACCATGTACCCCCAGAACCCCAAATGAAGCCCACTGCCATCAAGTTGATACCTACTCATAGTGAGTGACCCTACGCAGGGAATCATTTTTACAAGAGCAGAAAGCCTCCTGTTCCTCCCTTTGAGCAGCTGGTGAGTTTGAACTACTGACCTTGTGGTTAGCAGTCTAGTGCTTATCCTACAGCACCACCAGGACTCCTTTTTAAAACGTAAAGTTCAATGATTTTTAGAATATATTTCTAAATATATTCTAGACTAGAGGTCCTTGTCTCTCTGAGTCTGGAAACTCCTCTGAACGCTGTTCAGGATCATAGCAACCTGCAGTCTTCTGCCAGCACATGGATGGTGAAGTAACCCTGGGTTTCCTGACTGAGCCCCCCTACCCTCTACACCATCACTGGGTCTCCTGACTGAGCCCCCCTACCCTCTACACCATCACTGGGTCTCCTGAACCCCCTGCCCCCTGAACCATCACTGGGTCTCCTGACTGAGCGCCCCTGTCCCCTGCACCATCACTGGGTCTCCTGACTGAGGCCCCCTGCCCTCTGCACCATCACTGAGTCTCCTGACTGAGCCCCCCTGCCCCCTGAACCATCACTCAGTCTCCTGACTGAGCCTCCTGCCATCTACACCATCACCGGGTCTCCTGACTGAGCCCCCCTGCCCTCTGTACCATCACTGGAAGGGTTCCAAGAGGGATTCTGGAGAGCACCCCTATATCAGGTGGGGGTTAGAATGGATGACCTTAAAGATCCATGCTTCAGAGGCTGCACACTGATGCTACATTTGTCATATAGGACAAACGAGTGTTTTCTTTTTATGGCACAGCATTTGCTTACACAATGTTCTATTGCTTTACTATTATTATTACAAAATTATGCATATAAGCTCTGCACTTCTAGCTTCTCTTGAAAAATAATGCTTAGCAACTCTAGGCCCACGTTCTCATATGCCAGCCACCCATC